GTTTTACTCTCTTTTTATCTTGTAAGTCATTTTTCTGAATGTTGATTTACACTTTTTATTGTATAATTATTTTGATTCTATCTATCTTTTTTCCCCTTAAAAGGAACAAGAAAAGTCACAAAAAAGACGTTAAATGGCCATTTAAATCCCCCATCTTTTTATTCATATATAATTCACTGCAATAATTCAGAAGACATAACTCACAGCAGCAAGTCAGGACTCACAATTTAGAGGCACATCAGAAAAGCTTTACTGTGAGCATTCATTTCGTGCCTGGTTCCTCACACAATGCTACATTAGGCCTCTAATGTGAAAAGGCTCCCAAAGGCTTCATTAAAATGAAAATGGTCTGAGAGGGTGTGTCTAAGTGTGTGCCCATACAGCTGTGCTCGTGTGCACATCTGAGTGTGAAGGTGAGTGGTGTGTGTGGGTATGTTTCTGCATGTGTATATTCATATGTGTGAATGCTTCTGTCCTGGGTATGAAAAATGTCCCCTGATGCAGAGGGTGGAGCAGTCACTTTTTGGTAGTTTGTCAACCTTCCCAAGGCTCCATCAGAGTAAGACACAAATCTTTTGCTATCTCTGGAAAGTAAATGACTAAATGAAAAGAAAAAAAAACACAAGTCCAATGTCACACAGTCACACTATTCACTTTATGTATGTTTAAGACTCCACATGATGAAAAGCACCTGACACTTCTGACTCTTTTAGTATTATTATTATTATTATTATTATTATTAATAATGACTGAGTGATTCAATTTAGTCACAGGAGATACCAAAAACTAATTCAGATTTTTTTTGAAAAAAACAACAACATACATTTTATGTTTGCTTCACATTTTTTCATAGCAGGATGAAAAACAAATAAAGAGAACCAAGTACAGATGAGCATTTTTGTTTTTGTCTGACTATTTATAAAATCCTATTTTGGAATTAAGCTTTTGAGTGAATAAATCTGCAAAAACCTTTTTGCCGAATCCCTCTTTGCTTGCAACACTACAGTATCAGTGTGGAGCTAACTGTGGAGAGAGCGTGAACAGCGTATCTGATGTATCTCTTGTCAAACTGAAATGAGCTCTGTGGAGGATGTTTAATGGACAACTGCAATTTCATTCATCTCAGCCTGACTGATTGCTACGTACAAGGAGGCTACTTTCACACCTCATTTACTGAGTCTGCTACCATGCTAGATTCAATCACACACTGAGGCTCACACTAGCATATGTACAGGTATCTGCATGCACAAACCCCTACCTCATACATGATCAGATGACCCGACTGCTGCACTTTTGACACGCTAAGCAATTTGATGGGCGACTGGACGGATGGACAGACTAAAAATGAGTCTAAAAATATAGTCAAGTATGTAGCATAGTAGAAATATATGTCTTGAACAGAAAAATGTGAAAAACAAAGGGATAGCATTGTTAGAGACATTTTTATTTGCAACTACTCAAGTCCACTGACGACACGACGCAATCAACTAAAATGTCAGAGACAAGTGGCCCATGAGAGGTGATTGGGCCTTTAACTGCTCCAATCAGCAAATGGTGCTATGAGGCTGTCTACATCTGTCAGGAAGAAATAGGCTTCACGTAGGAAAAAACTGTATTCTTTTGTGACAGCAGGAGACAGTGTCTAAGTGTTGATCTGTGAGAGTGTCTGTGAGAGAGGGTGATCTTTCAGTGGAAGTGGAAAGGTAACTTGGTCTTTTCAGCTTCAATCACAGCCATTCAGCATGATGTTGTTATATAAGCGCTGGTGTTCTTCAAAAGAAAAAACAGTGGGTTATAATTTGGCCTTTACTTAAGATGAAGGATGAATCTGCTTCAGGGATTTGGCCTTCACCGTCATCACGCCATTCTTCTTGCTGTGATTACCACCATCATGTCTTATAAATTGGAATTGGAGAAAAGAGACAGGCAAGGGGGTGAAGTAAGAGTTATTAAGAAGAGAAAAACAAGAGTTTAAAGGTGGCGAAAGATGAAAGAATTTTATAAGTTACAAGAAGAATATGAAAAATTAGAGGAGTGGGAAGAGGGAACGGGAGTAGAAACTAGGATCAGAGGGAGAAGGAGCAAAATCAGAGAGGACGAGACAGGGATTTAAAGCCAAGGACAAGAAGAGGAAAACTAAGAATTTCAAAATATCATATTTTTTTTCCTGGCATTGACAATATATAGAAAGTTTGTAAGTAGGACTAGGAAGAGAAAAAGCAAATGGGGGTGGGGGGTGGCAGGGGAGAGGAGAAAACGGGAGAGGATAAAGGGTAAATGGGGGACAGGAGCAACAAAAGACAATGATAAGTTAAAGAAGAGCACCCTTATCTTTCTTTATGTAGGTTAATTGACTGAGGAATTAAAGCAAAAAAGATATAATTCAATTCAATGCATGGATGTTAACAATGAAAGGGCCGGTAGCATATGAAATTATTCTTAACACACACACACACACACACACACACACACACACACACACACACACACACACACACACACACACACACACACACAGACCAAGCTAGTGTGTCATCCTAGTATATTTCTAATTATCAGTTAATTGTTATTCCCTATCATTAGGAGGGTGGTTTTTTAATTGTAATGTAGCCAAGCAGAAAGCCTACCTATACATGTGGGGGACAATTAGCCACCTCCATTAACCCCTGGTTAATTACAACCTCCATTGCTGCTTCCCACAGCACTTTCCCACTCCTTCTTACCCCTCATCTCTATCCCCGGGCCTTCATCCCCCTTTTTTTTCATTTCTGCCCTCATTTCATTCATCTAAGATGTCCAATCTGATTGTTTGATTCAGAAGTTAGCTGTTGTGAACTTCAATTCTTTTTTTCCCCTTTTTTTTAACTAAAAAGTTTGTTCATTTTAGTTTTCTAGGTTATCGACACAATATTTCAGCCCTCTATGTCCTTCCTTTCTTCATTATTATTTCTCCCTTCTATTCTTTCCAAACAATTTTCCTCAAGGACTGAGAATGCTAAAAGGCAAGCAAAACTACTGAAATATATGGATCAAAATTAATGTTGACATATAAACCAGAAACACAAAATAAAATGTAAGTCCCTGACTTGCCTTAATTACTTTTACTCAAAATCGCCTTATTCAGTTTCACTCGTTGTAATTATCCTAGTCCATTTAACCCCTGAAGTTGCCCCATCAAATGTACAAAACCACAGCCCTACTTTACAGTTGTTCAACTTTTCTAGCCAACCACAGAGAAAACAGCACTACATGTATTCCCTTCTCATAGAGCAGACACACATATGATGCAGGTCTACTAACAAATGTTCAACTGACCCTGAATTTATTCACATAAGAGGTTGAGGTCTAGTTGTCCCTGTTACCAAAAACTCCACTCCACAGCGTAGCCTCTGCCTGCTCCGCTTGCCCACATGTGTAATTTTCATTTCTCTCTTTCTCTGAGTTGGTATCCAAGAATATACCTATTTAATAGTGTGCACACATACAAAAAATGTGTATACAGCAAAGTTAAATTATTTCTCTTGAAAACCCCCAGTACAAGAAGAAAAACAAGTTAATTTAATGCAGAGAGAAAATAAAATCACTTCTGTTCCTAAACTCCAGTCAGATGAAAAAACAAGCTAAAGTAGTTAAAAAAGAAATACAGAATTGAGTTTGAGTTTTTCATAGTGGAGCCACTAGCAGAGCTATAACGCAGGTACCCACTCTCAAAGGACTGTCAAAGCTCCACCAGAATCCCTGTCTTTCCAGGGGATAAATGGAGAGTCTGACAGTAGCTGCTCAGGGCTGCTGGCAGAGAGAGTTTTGGCAAAATTTGAGGGTGCAGTTGCCCTTTAAGCTCAGTTTGGACAAGGTTATGTTACTGAAGATCAGTAAAAGCAAGTTACAGCAACCAAAAAGTAGGATTGCCTTAGGTGCAATGTGTCTACCCAGGCAAAGCTCAGACAAACCCAGACAACAAATAGGTCAGTAATGGGTACTTCACTTGCATATTTTTATCACCACAAGCATCATTTCCTATCCTATGTATTCATCCCACAGTAATTTGTAAAATAGTGGCTGATTTGTTTTAGCCTTCATCAATTTAATATTTTAGTCTTTAAAGGGGATACAGATGTTTTTGTTATGGCTTAAAATACATACAGTATGTCCCTAGTATACCTTCTTGTAGGCATTCTCAAATCTTCCAGAAAAATTTGGTAATTTTAGAAGATAGACAATATGTCAATAGGTGTACCTGTATCTAAAACACCATATTCTCTTTCTCAAACATATATAAACGCATACAGACAGCCCTAATACAGCAATTTCACAGGATGTATAGTGAACAATCAAATAGCGACTGACTAGACTGACCACAAAACAGAAACAAGAAATGTTAATATTTCTCCTACTTTATTTATTTAAAAAATATGGATAAATTAACTCAACTCTCCAAGTTGATTAGTTATCTAAAAAAAGAGGCCGGATATGCCTGTTGTCCATTTATGGTGAAAAGTGGTGATAAAATATTATAATATGTTGTTATTTCAATGATAAAAAATGCATGTCTGACAGACATGCAAAAACATAGAGAGAGAGAGAGAGAGAGAGAGGGGGGGGGTAGAAAGAGAATGAGAAAGAGAAGGGATAACGATGTCCATTGTTCCATTAGGGAAGACAATAATGACTGATAAAATGAGGTTGCTAAAGAGGACACAATGGTCCTTAATTGACTCATTAGGGAGAGAAGAGAATGAACTGCACTAATGAATGGAGTATGAGCGCTGCAGCTAAACTGCTTGGTAAGCAAAACAGAAAGGCATTTAGTTTATTAAATCTCGGCAAAGCAATATTTGTTCACAGAAAGGGATAGTATACGAGACAATAGGGACAAATACAAAATGGTGAAAAGGAAAAGCTTAGGAAAGGGCCTTGGTATTTAAGTTTTATTTATCAGTGATGTATTATTTTCTTTGATGGTAATTCTGGGTGAAATGGTGACTGTGTGCAGTGCATACCTCTAGGTGTTCCAGGATATATGGTGGGTTGGTCATACCCAGCCTCAGCATGGCCCCTTCAGGAATTTCCTCCACCAATCTCCAGAGCAATGTGGGCAGGTCTGTCCCTATGTCTCTACCATAAGCTCCTGTGTCCTCACTGGTCAACCAGATCTCACACACTCCCTCTGGAAAGTCAGGCACACAAAAACAAGGATGAAACATACTAAATGACATCAGCTTTGTGGTATGATGATCCGTAGCATGCTCATGTCACTGCAGTTTTACAAATCTTGTTTTTCAGTTAACATGACACTGTTGCGAACAATTATCAATTTAAGATTTTCTACATGGTATACTTTTTAAAAGAAAGACTGCGCAGTATATCATTTGACAATAGTATGCTGAAGTATAGCTCATCCAACTGGACTGGACAGATACTTTTGAAGTTTCCGGTAGCAATCAGCAAAATTGTCTGGAAGAAACTGGAAGAAGCACTAGGAAGTTGTTACAACAAAAGTATTTTAATTAGAGAACTACAGCATCACATTATTTAATAACTGCAAAAAAAATCTAGCTTAAAAAAAGGGCTTCCACATACATACAAAGGCATCATATTACTAATAACTAGTAACTGTTGTGCACACTAAAATACACAATCCTTTTTTACTGTGACAATAGCTATTATTACACTTATGGAAATATATACATATATTACACATGAGATCAAATTAACTAAATGATTATATAAAATTGGTGATTTTTTAAATCCTTTATTTACTTGATTGAGGATATCCATTTGAACCACATGAATTAACAGTAATCATGTTCGGAAGTTAGGTTTTATCGTTAATGTGACTTATATCTTGTATAAAATTACATTTACACAATTTGTTTTTACAAGTACCTGCTTGTTTTTTTGATAAATTGATCTATATGGTTCTTACCACATTGCCCAGCCCGAGCAACAAAGTTCCCCCACCATCACAGCAGCTTAGTTATTTAATTACCTTTGCGAGTCTCTTATTCTCATTACCTAAACGCTCTAAGGTTTTGGCAGGACCCAGCTCATGACAGTCAGTGACAAGTATTAAAAGTACCCATCTTATAAACACGCTTTCCAGGAATATGAAGGTCACATACAGCAAGAGGGGACAATCTACCAGCTTCATGCTAAATTAGAGCAATGCTCACCGTTAGAGCTTAATGATCTAACTGTCATTTGACTGTAGGTCTGGAAATGGTTGAGTGTCTGCTTAAGCTATGTGTTGAGACATATCATATCAGGCAGGCACATAAAAATACATTTGCAATTGCAGGGGCACAAGCTCAAGTACACACAGACACACACAAACACGCAGAAAACCACACAACCATCATTATCATTAGCTGTGCAGAGACGGACAGGAAGATGCATGTGGTCATTCAGAGAGTAAAGATGGTATTTGGCTAATTGGACAGTTTGTGTGTGTGTGTGTGTGTGTGTGTGTGTGTGTGTGTGTGTGTGTGTGTGTGTGTGTGTGTGTGTGTGTAAGGGAGCAAGAGAGAGAGTAAAACTGTGTGTTTAAAGGCGTGCATAGGCCAAATAGATTAAAGATGATGACAGTATAATTGTCCAGAGTGAAAGAGTTTCCAAAGCTCATCATCATTGACATTAAGATGCACTAATGATTTCTGGAACCAGCCACTTCAAAAAACACCATCAAAAACATCCATCAATCACACGTGATCAGAGCTAAAGGCTAACACACACAACACAAGAATGCATTCAGGATGCGATGTTCATTTGCTTCAGTACTCAATTAATCAAAAGCATATTCCACCTTGGTCCAATACTCGATAATAGCCTAGTTCATTAAATATTCTTTATCACGTATTAACTCATTCAATCTGTTATACTCAGAATGTAGGCTCTGTTTTAGCACAGACATAGATAAGAGCTACTGTTAGCCACTAAAGAGCTTCACTGGAGGACCTGGAGGTCAAGCTCTATGCAAAGACATGTTATCATCAGCTAACAGATACATAATGGAAGAATGTCTCAGTTTAGCTAAATTAATACCGTGGTTGATTTGCTGCAGTATTTTTTCAGCATAAACAGTGTGACATTTTTCATCTTTTTAGCCTAAGGGAAGGTGGTGACAGCAAATTCCCGGGGCAGCTAATGTCAGCTTGTTTGGGCTGAATTATACCAATCCCTCTGCCAAGGTCTAACCTTTGCCTGCATCATCTCCATCCCAGGAGTGAATGTATTCCTACATCCACTGCACCAGCAGCGTCACTTTCTACGCCACGGCTCTGTTCCAAAATAATATTGGCCAAGTGGTCTCTTAATACAGGGCCAGACCTGCATTACATTGGCCTAGGAGCTAAATTGGTTCCTTCCAAAACAACATTCCTGTGATTCCACACACATAATGCTGCCAAGCCAGTAAGCTTGGTTATTGTCTGCTATTAAATGCCTCTTGTGATTCCTGTGTTAATTATGTTTTGAACCGGGTGATGCTTTGGAAAAGTCTCAGGTGTTTACTCAAGGCCACAGTCACACATAGATCTCCGGATAAACTCAATAACCTGCCCAGTAATTTGCCCCTTTGGCCTGCTTCTCGGTCCCTTTTGCATTAGGTGCGCCAATGGTGTTATCGTTGGCCAAAGACACAGAGAAGGTGCTCATTTCATCAGGAAATGTTAGCTTGCTCTCCCTTCTCTATCTGCGCTCACACACACAACACAGCTGCTTCCTCCAGTTTCTGGTATGTGTGCAGTGGAGAGAGGGGTCAAAGCAGTGCAGGGCTGAAATGTGTCTGTGTATTAGACATGTCAAGATTACTACAAAAAACTCATCACAACGGGACTACTTTGCAGAAGGAAAATTATAAATCTTTTTTTTACTTGGCCTGAGCCTGTCCTTGAGCAAGCCTTGAGCGTGTGCCAGTAAGAAATGCTGTTCTGTAGCTGACCCAGACTTCTGACTGTGATGTAAAAGGGAAACAACTAAAGAATTTCAACACATCAATATACTGTTGATATTCAAAATGTGTCATTACTGTTAATCGAAAAGTTGTATCTCTAGAAATAAAATCTGCAAGTTCCCACTCTGCTTCAACTTGTGTGTGTTCATATTACAAACCCTTCACCAAATCCCTTTTTTCCATGTCACTGTATGATGTAGGAGCAGTTATAAACGAGGGTGTGGAGCAGGACACTTTTCCTAAAAGCAATTAACATTCACTGAACTCTGACACAGCAGTGTAAACACAGCACAGGGAGGAGTGAACAAAACAGCTAATGGAAAGAAGATGGGACAGGAATATAATAAAGATGAAAAAAATAGAGCACGACCTGTGTTGTTTATGATTTGAGCTTTCAGGGGTGGGGATATAGTTAGGTTGAGACAGATAATAGGAGGGCAACAGAGAGAGAGAGAGAGAGCACGCACAAGAGGAAACAGCTGTGTACATGTCTAAGCTGCATTTGTCTTTGTCCAAGAATAACACCATCAGCATGTCTGACAAACGTCATACACATATCAAACAATCATCACTCCAACCCTCTGCCAAAAACTTGTTTGCTGTGTGTGTGTGTGTGTGTGTGTGTGTGTGTGTGTGTGTGTGTGTGTGTGTGTGTGTGTGTGTGTGTGTGTGTGTGTGTGTGTGTGTGTGCCTGCCTGCCTGCCTGCCTGCCTGCCTGCCTGCCTATAATTTGTCTGTATGAGCTCTATAGCCTGAACTGAAGACTGAGTTTAAAGTGTGGTGGATCTGTTGGTCAAAATTTGTATTTTCTAGCTGTAGCCTAAAGACCTACACTCAGTCAAACAGAAAGATAAAATCAAACCTTCTGAAATATCAACTTGCAAGATATGTCTAACTTGAGAAAAACTATGATGATCTACAGTTTTATCAAAATAATTGAAATTTAGTTTTTAATCATTTAACATACTTCCACTAGCATATACTGCAGCAACCCTGTATATGTCATTATACTGTTTACATATATAATTTCATATGGCCCCGTGTCCCCGCTCCTCCTCTGGATAAAAGGATGGGAAGAGTGGGAGGAGAGAAGAGATGAGGGCTTTGAAGTAGTTGCTTTGAAGAAGCATGACAGAACCAATTGATTCAGGTGATTGGGAGCTTTAGTAAAAGCCACTGTTGAAATGGTAAAAGGGTCTCAAATCATAAATGAGACACACAAGCAGCACAACATGACCACACATTTTTATGTCACGCTTTTTTCTATTAGTTGGTACATTCTGGCTCTGATTCTTTTGTACATACACATACATGAAAACAGTCAAGCTGATTAAATATTACACACAATGTCTCTTCAGCTACAAACAGTAATGTAAAACTATTACTACTCTCAGTGGGAATTATTGCAACAAAACTGAATGTAAATTCCAGTGATTTTTACATTTTTTGTCATAACTTCCACTGCATATGACACTGGAAATGAAAATTAAAACTTACTTTATATCCAATTTTATTTGGTATTATATATGGTCTGGTATGGTATGATATAATATAGTACAGTAATTATTGTCCGATATTCATTTTATTTTCTAATCACTTTTTTCTCCCAATAAGCCATTATAGTTACAAGTAATGTCAAAATAATTTACTTTCTCTGGGTGGAAATATTGTCACTTTAGTCAATTATTTAGACAAAAAATACTGGGGAAAAACATGTCGGACATCAATAATGTTCAACAATGGGAAAAATAGACTTTTTTTGGGATGAGGGAAAAAAACTGGTATATAGCAACATTTTTTAAATGGTGCACAACTTTTATAGGTTGTATTGTCAAAGATCAAGGTCAGAATCAGATCAAGTACTTTAATAAACCCAGGGGGAAATTACTTTTGTTACAAACTCCAGATATACATATAACATATAATATATATATAAATAAAGGTAAAATGTACAGTTTAAAATGTGCAAAAAGTGCATAAATGATTGTCCAAAAAGGTCACTGCCTTTTGAAATGACAGTTGACCTATTAGCTAAATTATGGATTTGGATCCTTGCTAACCCAAACAAATATGTATATAAACTAATATTTTCTCATCACTCACTGGCAGTCATCACTTTTATATTACTTTATGATTCTCTGTAATAAAATATTCCAGCTTCAGTGGCAACAGCAGCAATGTTCTTAGCCTAGCAAGCTCTGTATCAAAGGCTATGA